AATGGCTGATAAAACTCATCCCGCTCTGGCCAATCAGCGCCGAGACTGCTTATCCTGCCTTTGATCTGATTTGATCTGCTCGTTGAGATTCTTCGCTTTGTGTTTTGTGTTTAAGGGCATATGTCAGATGCTGAAAGGAATATAGCAGAGGTGTTAGTCAAAAAGAATAGTATGTACCTCGGAAAGAAAGGATTCTAGCCTCCGATGTGGTTTATTAGTTGACGTCGGAATGTATGGTAGCGCTAAAAATGTTCACTGAATATGCTGGTAGTTTGTAAAATTGAAATGCTCTACGCAAAATTTCAGGTGTTGATTATGTTAGTTGTCACAGCATCTCGACAGGAAAAGTGCTGCGTGAAGTTCGCGAATTGCTATTTATTTCTATTCACGCCTGGGATAGAAAAAAACTGCAATGCGTCTGCATTCGATGATGTATAGAAACGACAACAGTCAAGCATTCCACTAAAGACACAACTGCATCAACGCTTATCGCATGGAGCTTTCCAAAGCGGGAATTATATACTCAAGGTCTACGGCAAGGAGTCAAAACGCGTTAGATCACCTTCGCTTGACTGTGAACAATTTGTCTCTGCTTGCCGTGCTAAAGTTGATTCTGATTAAGTTGTTTTTTTTGCTCATTTTTGTTTCATTTCCTTGCGTTATTTTTTGAGGCATCACTTAGACTTTGCTGCAGACCACAAGGTGGGAGCGGATTTTCAAATAGAATATGTGAAAATTTCTCTTCTAGTTTTTATAAATATTTACTTGCTTTTGGGTTAACTCAAGAGAGTAATCTATTTATTCTGTAATAGGCTTTGGGATGACGACACTGTTGTGAATATATTTAGCATTTCTCTGCGTTCGCAACTTACCAGCCTCCTGCAAACTTACTTATCTCAAACTCAAGTTTTAACCCAAATAAAGAGGTCGAAGCGTAGTACCACCCAACTCTACGGGGGGAAGGGAAGTAGGAGTCTGAGTAGCCTTAGAACTGCCTTTGTCAATAATGGCCAAAAATTTTTCAAAATTTTGAATCGATCCACTAAGCTCAGCAATGACATGATTTGCACGAGTCGGTTGGGCTTCACATTTCTCGCCTTAGGAGAAGCCAAAGTGGTATGGCTTCAATCGGTCAGGCATATTCGTAATCAACGTGACCACTTAAGATTTTAAGCTATACTTAATTAGTGAAATCACCTGGTTAATTTCTCTTGTAAAATGAGGGATTGTGACGTCAAGTAACTTCGATACAAACTTTGTACAGTGTGTGTGTTGTGTGCGACTTCAACTTTCCATTGCGCCTTTGAGGGTGGCAAATTACTGAGCTTAAAAACAATGTAGAAGAAGTGTGTTCTCAAAGCTTTTTGTTAAGTTACTTTTCATAGTTGCACTTCCAACACATAATGCCTAATGTTCAACTTATACGTCATATCATCTTGGCCGACTCTTGGGGGCAGAACTATATTAATTGGGGGATGTGGTCCCCCAAGACCTCCCTGAAGACAGATTGAGGTATTAATGCAGAAAAGAATTGTAATAGTCAACGCTGAGATGGGCTATCAGGCTACGCCTCTCGTTCGGGCGATAGCTGTCGATGTAATCGAGGAGAGGCGGAGCAAAGAATCAAGGCGTGATAGCAATGGAAAATACTAAGGTTGCTTTTGTAAAGACGCTCAATTTTAATGTAATTGCAAAATTAAATGAGGGGACTTAACAATGTTGTAGTCATACTCTCAGACGATTACTTTACAATTCTTTGCCAACTTATCATCAAAGACTGAAGTCTCTTCTTGCAAATGTAGAACGTTTTCAATCCTTCATTTTAAGAGGCTCCAGGATCTTTGACGACAAGAACATTGCAAGCGAAATTCCACCATACCATTAGTCCTCAGGAGGTGATTTACGGCGTTACTCCTATTAATTACATCATACAAAGACTAACTAGAGGCTATTTTCGCTGATTTGAGTCACTTAGGTTTGTATTTTTAAACTTCTTAATTGGACCAATAAAGTAACAGCAATGGACTTTGGCCTTACATAACTGATTTTTTTTGTGATACCGTCCAAATGCGTACATAGCTTAAGCGCGATCTTAGCAATTTTGATTGAATGCAACTCTAAGCAGTTATTCCTGTTCCTTCCCATCGAAAAATGGCGGCTTCTACGTCCCTTACAAATCTACTTTGGTTTTTGCCTAATTTATGGGAATGGAGAAGCCGATTCTTCCCTTAGCTTCCACTTTCCATAGCGTAGGAGTCAAAAAGGCTACAGATTACCGATTAAAAAACTATGAATTTGGAATGCCCGTAGCCAAAGTTACCCCTCACCTTTCGGAACATTTTAAACAATCCTAATTGGCCTATATGACATTTGAATCCTCTTCAATTGTTCGATCAATGAGGCACTGGTACAATTTCAGCGTGAGACTACAAACCAATCAACTAAGAGCAGTTTATTGATCAGTCACGCATGTAGGTACGTACGCACGCATGCGCGCATACGTCTTACTTACAAGGCCAGATTAGCGTCTGTCAAAGGAATGTTATGACTGAATAAATGAGTAAATCTCTACATAGTGGCGAAAACAAGTTATCTGGGTTAAGTTCCTCAGGTAACTGGAGAACCATCTTTAGCTGGTACCTGCAATAGTGAACGTGGCCTCGGCAATTTTGTAGGAATGTGCGCGTACGTGTGCGACGGATAGGGAGAGTATGAAGTCAATCGAAT